AACGGAAACACCTGACAAAAAAATCTGTGAGTTCAAGTATCTTTTCCACAGTGAAACAACCAGCTATAGGAGAGCTAAGGTCCACTGACATCTAATACAACTAAACTCTCATATAAACAATATAAACCCATGATAGTTTTGCTCATCTATAATCAGGCTTCATCTGTCATATGGAAAAAAGGTTCCTTGGAGGATTTATTGAGGTCTTCTCTTAGCTACAACAATCTATGACCACGATGATTACCTTTGGGAGTTTATCAAACTGGAGTTTTATTCTAATCATTTGAAAATCTTTGTTAGGTTTATTGGGGCATAATTTACATATAGCAAAATTTCAGAGGCCCAGTTTTTAGGGGCCCACTTCCATGAATTTGGACAAACATACAGTTATGAAACTACTCCCACTATCAAGATATAGACCATTTTCCCATCCCATGAGTCCCCTCCCTCAACCCGTGACTCTGGAAACCACTGATCTTTTCTCTGTCCTGATATTTTTTGCCTTTTCCGGGGTGGCATATAAATGAAACCATACAATATGTAGCCCTTTGAGTCTGGCTTATTTCATTTAGTATAATGCATTTGAGAGCCACTATTTTGTTGCTTATATCAGTAATTTGTTCCTTTTTATTGCTGAGTATATATGTACCACAGTTTGTTTATACACCAGATGCTGGGCATTTGAGTTGTTTCCAGGGTTTGGCAATTATGAATAAAATCACTATAAACATTCATGTATAGGTTTTTGTACAGACATAAATTTTCATTTCCCTTGAGTAAATAGCTAGGAGTGGAATGGCTAGTTTATATGGTGAGCATATGTTTAACTTTATGAAAACTGCAAAAGTGTTTTCCAAAGTTACTGTACCATTTGTGTTCTTACCAGCAATGTCTGAGAGTTCTCTACTTGCTTGAGACCTTTGCCAGCATTCAGTACTGTCAGTTTTCTTTATATTAGCCCTTCTACTAGGTGTGTAGTGGTATCTCCCTGGTTTTCAGGTGCATTTCCTAAAGACTGATGTTCAGCCTCTTTTCCTACATCACGTAAATCTTAAGAGATGTCCTCATAACACAAAGTAAGCAATTACTTTCCTATGGACTGAACTGGTGGAGGGAGAGTGGTGACTAGAGGAAACTAGGGAACAAAATTCATAAAGCTGTTGAGAGGATCTATCAGATAATACATGTAAAATATCTTAAAATAAAGTACTATTATAAATCTAAGGGACTTTAATTGCTACTAAATGTTAGAAACTTACACAGATACAAAAACTGTACCAGGAGCCTCTAGCTCTCCCAGATGGGAGATGAATAAAACATTTTAGTCTGACCCACCCTGCCAACACTGTCTCTGTCTACAATTTTGGAGTTGTCCTGAATTAATTAAGCCAGTTTTTAGTGTTGGAGACAAAGTCCAGTTTTCATTTCTTTTCACAGCCAACATAATCAATGAGTTCAGCATTCCAGTAATGTCAAGGGATGAATTTATTATTTTAGAATGAGAAGCTGACCAACTTCTGACCGTTCTTCCTCCTGTGACTGACATCTCACACCTATACAAGTCTTCAGACTTCCAAAAACAGAAAGAAAAACTTGTCCGTTTGTCTCTCAAGACCCTCTATCTTTAAGTGACACATGACCTGAATCTTACTAAACTAATAAGAATCTCTATGTAGAAGTTTCTCAAAAAAAAAAAAAAAAAAAATTTAAAAAAAAAAAAAAAAAGAAGAACTATTGAGATGAATTAAATCTAACTGTAATTTTTTAGAATGTCATGAACAGCAACTAGCACTCAATAAAACCCAAGTATTTCTTTGGTTCAAAGCAACAGTGCCACTACCTCTTCTCTTCAGGGCCAATTTGGTAAAATTAAAACATTTAAGTACTGCTTTTCTTCTTTTAAGAAATGCTCATTTTGGAAGGTAATACAGTATCTGCAACAATACAGTAACTATTTAAATATCACTCACCCACCTTAAAGTGTTATTTTCTGGCTAAAATTTTAGTAAAACCACCTCACAAATGAAGAGAAGCGATGACAAAGTAGGACGTTCGTGATGTACAACTCCAACAGCACCTTTTACATCAGATCCTGGGGCTCACTGTCTTTGTCTTAATCTCTCCAGTTATGCTGCCAAAGTTTCTAGTATTCAAAATTATACTGTGAGCACAACACCACTAAGGACTTCTGGGTTAAATATATAATATTTGAGTAAATGTTTTGGAGCCACAGAAAAGATCATTATGAAGATTTTATAGGCATGTGGGGAGTACAGAAATATAATCTATAAAAATTAAATATATTTTTTGCACAAAGTTTAAAAAAAGTAACATTAAATGTACACAATGACTTTCACTATGTAAAAAGCAATACACATATAAAAAAAGAGAAAAGAGTGAACACATAAATTATTAAGGGTATTTGTTAGGGTATAGGATCATGAGTGATCTACTCCTTCCTCACTTTCTGAACTTTTAGTAATGCTGATATACTTAACTTTCATAAGATTTGAGGCTGCTAAAAATTAAAGAGGAAAGAGGGAAAAGGGAGAGGAGAAATAAAAACAAATCACTGAAATAAAATGTTTTTCAAGATTTCCAGTATAGAGGGCGCCTGGGTGGCTCAGTTGGTTAGGCAGGAGTCCTGGGATCAAGCACCGTATCGGGCTCCCCACTCAGCCCAGTGAGGAGTCTGCTTCTCCCTCTAACCCTCCCCCATCCCGTGCTCTCTCTCTCCCACTCTCCCTCTCTCAAATAAATAAATAAAATCTTAAAAAAAAAATAAAAAGATTTCCGGTCTAGAGAATTATACAACCTTTCTCAGCTATCATTCTCATTGGAGAAAATCTAGTCTAGAATTACAATGAAAAAGTTCCTTAAAAAGTTAAGGAATAATGGAAAAGGATACAAAAGAAATGATAAATAGTCTTCCTCTGACATAACATGCCTACCAGCCACTCTACCCCTGGACTTCTTATGTTATGTAATCTACTTCCTCATTGGTTAGGCTAATTTGTGTTGGGTTTCTGTTACCTGCAGCCAACTGCATCCTAACTGGTACAACCTTTGAGTAAAGAAGTTAAGCAAATCAGTTAATACTATCATATAAACTACATTTATATGAGAAATGATACTAGTACACTCCAAAAAAAATTTTTTTACCAGCTAGGATCTACTGGAATAAGAAGCATTCACCATTGCACTGGAGAAGGCTGCAGATAATCTGTGAAAAAGTCTTGCCCACATAACACAGACCACATGTGTATCCAAACTGAGTATATGATTAACACCATTATGCACATAAATTATGTAACTCATACATGGATAATATCTATCCACATCTTAACACAGTATAAATAATCACTGTAAGTAGATATAATATTTCATTTATTCATCCAATTTTTTTCAGGAACCAGTTACAGAGTATCAATTATGTACCAGAATCTGTCTTAAGTATTGAAGACACAAGAGTGAACAAAACAAAGTCCTTTCCCTAACAGAATCTTAATTCTAGTTACTATCAATAACTAGACAATAAAAAAATAAACATATCAAATGGTGAGATGTGCTATGGAGAAAAGGAACAAGATCAACATCAATTTTAAGAAGCAGCCAAATTTTCCACACCACTAGGTAAGAAAAAACATTGTCAATTAACATTATAAGATACAACTGAATCTAAGACACCCCAGTTTTAGAGATATTATAATGTGGAAAAATATGTACCTTAAAATAAAGGAATATGATATAAAATAGGAAAAGGGAGACAGAAAATGCAGGCAAGAAAAAGGAACCTGTAAGTTTAGATAGGTGTCTGAGAGAGGTAAGAAGCCACGCAGCTCTCCAGAAGAGAGTTTCACTGTGAGGAAGGAACAAGAGCAAAACCAGGGCAGTGGGCACACCCAGGACACAATGGAGGAACAGAAAAAATGTGCCCAGAGACAGCAGGTGAGAGAGAAGGCAGTAGTAAATGAAACTGGAGAAGCTGCAGAGGCCTGAATACACAAAGGCTTGCAGGCCATGGCTATGACTCTTATTCTGAGCAGGATGGGATGCCCAGACGTTATTTTCAAAATAAGAATCTAAAACAGGGGTGCCTGGATGGCACAGTCTGTTAAGTGTCTGACTCTTGGTTTCGGCTCAGGGAGTGATCTCAGGGTTGTGGGATCGAGTCCTGTGTTAGGCTCCATGCTCAGCCCAGAGTCTGCTGGAGATTCTCTCTCCCTCTGCCCCTTCCCCCAACATGCATGCGCGCGCGTGCTCTCTCTCTCACTAAAATAAATAAATCTTTAAAAAAAAAAAGAATCTGTGGGGTGCCTGGGTGACTCAGTTGGTTAAGCGTCTGCCTTCAGCTCAGGTCATGATCCCAGGGTCCTGGGATGGAGCCCCCAGTCGGGATCCCTGCTCAGCGGGGAGTCTGCTTCTCCCTCTCCCTCTGCCTCTGCCCCTCACCCCACTCCTGCTCTCTCTCTCTCGCTCCCTCAAAATAAATAAATAAAAATTTCTTTAAAAAAAAGAATCTAAAACAGATGACTAGGATCTGGTTGATGCTTATAAAAACAAAATCATAACATTTTTTTAAAACCCGCCAACTCCACAGTTAAACACTAAAATGTTTATAAATGAAGCCATTTCCAGCCTAGGATAATAAGGTTAAGTGATTCCTTAAATATGGAATAAATCATCAATATAGTTTTAAAAATACAATAACCCAGTATATTAGAAAAGTGAGAATACTGGTAATGAAATAATCTCAGAAAGCTAAACAAATAAGCTACTAAGTATTTCTCTGTTGGTCCTGACCAAAGCTACCAGTCCAATTACCAGCAAAGAAGAGTGGCTTCTACTATATGGATATTAGATGCCAATTTCTAACGCTCCATGAAGTTGAAGATGCCAGAAAGTTGATTTTACTCTATTAAGTAGTAAGAAAAACAAAGGAATAATCTTGTGGTGTGTTAAAATCATTTTTCTTGACATATCTTTTTAAACTCTCTTACCTGCTGGATGAGGTGCATACACTTTGAAGACTGCACTCCATAAGCATTGTTGACTATATGGGGAATGCCGTAATTAGCACAAATCACAGCCAGTTCTTCTAATCTACAAACATAAATATTCAACAGAAAGACATATTCCTACTGTGCTTTTATAAATTACAGTGTGAGAACTTTTTTAATTCAATAGTTATTCTTAATGTATACTAGGAAAAAAATGGGAAAACTGAAATTTCTACAGCAGTAGTTTAGCATAAAATTCAGCAGCAGGCACTTTAGGATAAACCTAAAAAAGCTTTTAAATTAATGTTACCAATAAATGGGAAAACGGGTATTTATAAAAATCTGTATAGATGGTAGCTTTTAAATCACTTTAAAATTTCCTATATAAAAAGCAAGAAGCAGATTATAATGACCCCTTAACAAGGTGGTATGTCATTTTTAAATGCTTTTGGTTGCTTATCATACTAAAGCTAATAGCTGCAAAATAATTAGCATGTCTTGAAATCTTAAGAAATCTTACATTTAACATCTCATAAAGTAAAAAATACATTTTCAAGTAGACTTTAATGTATTAAAAAATACAGAACATTAAAATGTTTCAGTACCAAAATAACATTTTCCAACAACTTGCAAACTAAAGAATCTTTTAACTAGCTGCTGGTTTTAAATTCACTCTTATTTTTCATTTGACACTCCTTATATTAAAACAATTTGAGAGTCTAACTCTATGCAAAGCAAGGTAATAAATTTCAATTGGAGTGTAATAAATGACGTTCCTTTGCAAAATCAAATACTACTTGTGACTGAGGCCATTTCTAATAGAAATGTCTTTACATGCTATGAAGCTAAAACTAAATCCTATGATTTAATAAAGTTAATTTTTTTAAAAAATGTTCTTTCTACAATATAAAGAATTTGGAAGCAAAGCAATAAAAGTTCTTTCCCATAAGGATGTATTTCAAATATATATAATATAGTTTTATTATTTGTTTTTGCAAAATACATATTCTTTTTTAGATGCACATTATGTTTTTGAAGTACAGATAGGAATGACATTATTCATCTGTCAGAAGTTTTCAATTTACTTCCTTAAAGTATTATGAACTAAAAAGTCATTTTATCATTCATTTTCATAAACCTTACAAATTGACAGAGAAACGTTTCTATTACTCAAATTAATCAGATATTGTTTTTAAAAAATAGACTTTCTGGGATACAAACAAGTATTTTCTTCATAGAAGTCACTTTTATATGTTTGTGTACTAATAAAAGCATTTCTTAATAACAAAGCTCCTCGAAAGGAAGATGCTATAATAACATAAAGTACTATTTTTAAAAGAAAAAAAAATCACTTGAGTTGTTTTAAATATTCAGAATTCATCAAATCTGCTAATATTTAGAGGATGTATAAAGGTATTTAATGAAAGGCAAGGAAAGACAAAAAATATTTTCCATGTGGATCAAATTGTATTGTAACTTAGCAGCCAATTTAAGATGTTTGTCAGGTAGAAATAACCTTTTTTTTTTTTTTAATATCCTTTGACTGATTTTGCCCCACAATACTCTGTCCAATTAATTAACTGATAAAGACAACATATATATACATATACCTATTCAAGTTAAGACTATAAAGAATAAGCTTAATGCAAAGAAATCAAAATATATTTTAAGTTTAATAAAATCAGAAATTCAAACATATTACTAATAACTGTGCATCGCTATTTTCCTAAAGTTCACTTTTATCAGAAACATTCATTATATAACACAACGAAAAAGTGGCATATGAGAATTTTGCTGATAAAAACCTTTGTGATTTTTTCCCAAAGGAGAGATAATACATGTAAAAGACTTAACCCTATACCAAGTATACTGACATCTAAAAAAAAAAAACAAAATGAAACAAAAACTATCCTCAAGCATAAACAATCTAACACCATACCCATATGCTGTTTTTGGAAATGTGACTTATTTCTATCACATTAAAATTTTTTGAGATAGCAAAATCATCAATGAAGAATGAACAGAGATGTTTATATAATATTTCAATGCAAATTTAAAAACTGATTGGTAAGTAATGAATAAACAAGGAAAGCATACGCAATATAATCTTGAAATGGAATTCAGAGTCACAAATGAAACAAGGTAAATTTTCAAGAGCATGGTCTTAAAACTGTCTCTTAAAACATGCCTATAAAATAATAAACAGTAACATACATTCATGAATGCCAAATTGTGTGATTCCATGAATTAAAACTAAAGTATAACTTGATCTTAAAAAATAGCCCAAAGTCAATATAGTTTTTACAAATTATTAGCACTTATGTTCAAAATGTTAAAATCAAACAAAGAGCTGCTGTCAAAACTAGAAATCTGTATTACTATACCCAAACCTATTACAATTTCAGAATAAAATTTGTGGATATCCTTTAGAAAAGTAAACATTTGCTTTTTTTCTTTTTGCTTTTATTTTCTTAAATATATGCATTTTTCTCAAAATGCAAAGACAGCCACTGTCTACGTTTAAGTGTACATGTGAGTTAATCTTCCAATTAAAAAATTCAAAAGGCAATAAATAATCCTAAAATTTCCTATTCAAAAAATCTGTTAATCTTACATAGAAAACTAACTATAAAATCAAAGAAATGGAGACAGCAATGAAAACAAGTAAATCCAACATTATGCTTAGAAACTTCTACTTAAATAATGAGGAAAAGATGCAAAGAGATCAGAAATAGAAAAAAGCAAGAAAATAGAGATGCTCTGTGTCTACACAGGTTATAAAGGGATCTCCACTTGGTATTAGTTTTTTTCCTTCTTCCGTATTAAATTTTTATTTTCCCAAACCACCATGCTGTTTTTCCACTAGTCCATTCACCTATTTACTGCCCAATGTTACTTAAGCATCTTTGAGAATGAGTATATCTGCATTTCGTTTAAAAGACCCGATGAACACCTAAAGGACAATATTTGCAAATGATTTACCTATCAGGCACCCTTGGAGCAAAACAGGATGTAGTGGAATGAACACACAGAATGGAATCAGGCCCAAGTTCCCGAACTTTAGCCTCCACTGCTTTCAGGTCTGTGCGCAGCTCGTCACCTTCTAAAACATTCTCTATCACCACAGGCTCAAAACCTAACCAAGCCAATCAGAAATCAAAATGTTAGATAAACTAAAATAAGGGAAGATCCTGGAACTCTACAAAGCAGTGCTATTCCACACAAGAACTCCAAATCTGGTCAGTGAACCCTCCCCAAGTAATAAAGACCTGGCTCAATACTGGTAGGAGTCAAAAGCAGGCCAAAATAATGTGAAGGACTAGTAGACCACAATTAGGACCACAAATCTATTTAACACTTAGATATGACTAGAAAGACTAATTCTGGGAAGGAAAACAAATGTCAAATAGAGACCTATAAAAGTAATAACACAGTCACTGATGACAAAAAGGATCATTTGGTACAATTCAATTTCAGACCACAGAAAAGTAAATCTACTCATTTCTCCGGCAACATTTCATTTTTAGGTTCACTTTATTTCAGAGATGGACAAGAATAAAAATATAATTCAAGTACTAAAACCAATCACAATCATCAACTTAATATTTTACTCCTAAAGAAAAAGTAATGAATTTTAGTAGCCTAATGATTACTGACCCATCCCATAGTTCATAAGGGCCTTCTATATAATTTAAATATAAACACTATTTCTCAATTTTCAGTTGAATTAGCACATGATCAAACTAGCACCTGATCAAAGGTCTGCCCAAATAATAACTATGTAATCTTGTATGGTGCATATTTAGGTGTCCATAAACTTCAAGAGTTTCCTGTGCAATATATAGACTAAACAATGCCCAAAGCACTTAGATAACTAAATATTTCATAATGCTAGTAAGTACTTAGGGTAAAAGTAAAATCTAATTGCTTGATTCTTACAAACTGGATAGAAAATAAACCTGGGAAATTTTACATGTAAAGTTATTATGTAGTCACATCTTCAGTCTTCCCAAATAGCAAATCTATAGCAGGCTGGACTCATACATTTAGGGGCTATAAGAGATTTAGAAACCATTTAGCTCAACTAACTCATTTCAAAGATAAGGGAGCCAAAGTTCAGGAAAATTAAGTGGTTTCCCCAAGGTCACACAGCAAATTAAAGCACAGTTATGAGCAAGTAGTTTTCTTCTATGTTTTATAACCCATGTCAAGTTGTCTGCATTCTATCTATAGAAATATAAAAACCTGGCCACTATAAAATGATCAATTATGTTGGTTCAGAGATGTCCAGGTTTTATATCTATACCTTCATAGCTTTTAAAACAAACAAAACTTAAATAAGTAGTGCTTCCTAATGACAGCTAATTTTCTATTATTTTTCAAATTCTCTAGACCCAACCCTATTTTTGCTTTCAAACATTTATAATGCAAGGTTTTTTTGAGAATACAACTATCTTGCTTCCTAAGAATATAGGCTATCCTAAGAAAGGATAAACTGTAAATTTAGTACAAATCCTAAGATCTTTTGGAAAATTTTCCAATTTTTCAATATGGCAATCTTTCCCGTAAGTTTGGTAGTAGTTCTTTGGTTAACAGGATGTAAATAAACAGACTGGACAACTTTATACCACTTAAAGTAAATGAGTATATCTTTTGAAAGTCTATCAGTTTCTACTATATGTCATAATTATGAATCCCTTCACATGAATTTCTTTAGGATTATTTATGCGGTTTAATTACAGGCCAATATAGTTCACTTCATATAACATACTGAAGCTATTCAAAATTAACCTTAAATTCTCAAATTCACCTTGACTTAAGCAAGCTAAATACTAAAACACCAACGTAAAGTTTTTGTCTCACCTCTATGTAATGATGCCTGGGTCCTTACACTCCGATTTATGGTAATAATTTATATGTATTCTACTTATGTATATACAATCACCATTCCTGAAGCCCCTTAGCACCCTTTATGCTCCAGGGATTACTGCTGGGTATTTCATATGTCATCCTGCTTAATATCAAAACAATTTTATGACAGGTAATCACATCCCCATTTCAAAGAATAGGGACATACGATACAGCCATCCCACTTCGGAGTATATATCCCAAAGAATTCAAAGCAGGGACTCAAACAGGTATTTGTGCACCCATATTCACATCAGCATTATTCACAAGAACCAAAAGGTGAAAGCAACCCAGGTGTCCATCAATGAATGAAAGAAAGAACAAAATGTGAGATATAAATATATACAGTGGAGTATTAACCTTAAAAAGGAAAGAAATTCTTGGGCGACTGGGTGGCTCAGTCGTTAAGCGTCTGCCTTCGGCTCAGGTCATGATCCCAGGGTCCTGGGATCGAGTCTCACATCGGGCTCCCTGCTCGGCAGGAAGCCTGCTTCTCCCTCTCCCACTCCCCCTGCTTGTGTTCCTGCTCTCGCTCTCTGTCAAATAAATAAATAAAATCTTAAAAAAAAAAAAAGGAAAGAAATTCTGATACATGCTATAACATGAATGAACTTTAAAGATATTGTGCTCTATGAAATCAGCCAGTCTCAAAAGGACAAATACTCTATATTCCACTTTAAAGATACTGTGCTCTATGAAATCAGCCAGTCTCAAAAGGACAAATACTCTATATTCCACTTACATGAAGGACCCAGAGTAGTCAAGTTCATAGAGACAGAAAGTAAAATGGTGACTGCTAGGAACTGGCAGTAGTGGGGAGGGAGGAGTTATTGTTTAATGGGTAGAGATCCAGTTTAAGAGGATGAAAAAGTTCTGGAGATGGTGTTACCTAATGATTGCACAACCTTGTGAATGTATTTAATGTCACAGAACCATACATTTAAAAATTATTAAAATTGGGGCGCCTGGGTGGCTCAGTCAGTTAAGCGTCTGCCTTCAGCTCAGGTCATGATCTCAGGGTCCTGGGACTAAGTTAGCATTGGGCTCCCTGCTAAGCAGGGAATCTGCTTCTCCTGCTCCTTCTGCCTCTTCCCCCTCCCCTTATTCATGCTTGCTCTCTCTCTCTCAAATAAATAAATAATTTTTAAATAAATTAATTAAAACTTATTAAAATAGTAAATCTTATTATGTATATTTTATTACAATAAAAAGGTGGAATAGGAACACAGTTTCTTTTTCATTCATCTACCTCTATATAAAAAGGGTGAATTTTCTACATTATATATGTCATTTCTCTTCTTTTACCTGCAGTGATCATGGATTTAAAGCAGGACTTCTGGTCTATTCTCGGCCATATAATATACTTTGCCTTTGGTCTTTTGTGTCGTAATGTTAAGAAACACAAGGTTAGACTCATACCAGTTGCCATGGGAACTACAAAGCAGTTGGTCACTGTAGGGACACCTAAAAATAAGAAGTAAAGGAGAAATTAGTTATTCCACTGAAAAACCAGCATCCTTCTTGAAGAAATGATAGAATTCTTCAATCAAATATAAGAGTTATAGACAGTGCTTCCTCTGTACTCGACCTCAGGAAGCTCACTGCCAAATTCATCCTCCAGGCTTATGGCTCTGATTTTCTATCTTTTTCTAAAGGGTTTTTAAAAATATGTCTTTTCAAGAGCCATTTAGAACCTGTTTGGAAAGAGGCATTAATAAAAGATATTAAGCAAAGGTGTGTGTGGCTGGTCACCCAAAAGTATTATGATTAATATAATACATACCAGCCAACTTTATGATGTCCAGGACCAAAGAATTGGTAATTCTGTTCAAAAGGCTAGAACCTGCAGCTTTTGGCTGCACAGCAGAAATATCACCCGATCGTCCAATTCCATGAATGAACCTAAGCAAAAAATGGGCCAACAACTGAACAAAAATATTTGGTGTTCTAAGTAATCCACTGTATAAGTAGACAGATACAATAATCAAAAAAACAGCAGAAGCAACACTTGACTATTACAGATACATTTCATAAACTATTAATAATGTAAAAATACCCTAAATTGAAACAAATTCATCAATTACATTGCGGTAGCTAGTCTCCAAAGATGGCCACCATCAATTCCTTTTCTCCCTATGCCCACACACTACTGCCAACATCAAGAGATGGAATCAAATTCCTCTTCACTTGGATCTGCACTGGCTTTAGTGACTTGCTTGGCCAGGAAGAATCTAGTGGAAGTGATGTTCTGGAATTTCTGATTTAGGTTAAAGAAGCCTTAAAGCTTCACCTGGCCTCTTGAAGGGCTTGCTCTTGTGGGAGCTCCCGCCTATAATCCAGATGCCATGCCAGATCCCACCTGCGGAGGCCATCTGAGCTCCCAGCGGTCTAAGTGAGTCAACCTGGATAAACTGCCCAGTTGAACCTAATGACTAAACTCTCAGCCAACATCCGACTACAACTGCATGAGAGACTGGAAGCAATAATCATCCTGCTTAGCCCAGTTAACCCACAGAACTGTGAGAGATAATACTAAATTACTGTTTTAAGCCACTAAGTTTTGAGGTGGTTTGTTAGCAGGAATGGAAAACCAGAATATATGCAACATTAGATTCCCTTCTTTCTTTCCATTTCCTTAACCAGAGCAGTGGATTAAGTTCCAATGGGGATGAGCTGCTATTTCAAATACAGCCTTAATTTAAAAAATATTACAGGTGTGGGGCACCTGGGTGGCTCAGTC